TTTCCTTCCACCAAAGCTGCCAGGAGCTCAAGCTGAACATGAAAGGACAGGAGGAGGCCAAAAGGCAAAGCCAAGTTGAAACAGGCAGAAAAGAACGTTCCAGAAAGATCAGTCCCAGGAACCCTGTTTCCTGTAATCTGAGCCTCAGTCCTGTGTGTCACCCCCAGATCCTCCCCAGCAAACCAAGAAGTCCGGCCCCTTCCAAAGCCGGGACTGATTCACCCCCAGACACGCCCACAGGGCTGCAGGTGGGGTACCCCTCAGGGCCGGGCAGCCCCATGAGCCTCCATCAGAGACAGGGCTGCCCTGTGCAGGTCCTCGGTTTCTTTTTTTTTTTTTTTGCTTTTTTGGGTCACACCCGGCAATGCACAGGGGCCTTTCCTGGCTCTGCACTCAGGAGTTACTCCTGGCGGTGCTCAGGGGACCATATGGGATGCTGGGAATCGAACCCGCGTCAGCCGTGTGCAAGGCAAACGGCCTACTCGCTGTGCTATTGCTCCAGCCCCCGGTCCTCGATTTCTTAGTACAGTTTTTCCACACCCAGCAGTGCTCAGGGGTCTCTCCTGGCTCAGGCCTCAGGGATCACTCCTGGCGGGGCGTGGGGGGCCCTATGGGGTGTCGGGGATGGAACCCAGGTTGGCTGTATGCAAGGCAAGCACCCTCCCCGCTATCCTGTTCCTCCAGGTTTTGTGTTGTTGATTTTTGGGTAGGGGGGCCACAGGGTTTGGGGGCCACAGGGGGTGACGCTCGAGGCGATCCCTGCTACTGTGTTTAGTGTGGGGGGTGGGTGCCGGGGATGAGACCCAGGCCCCCAGCTTTCAGAGGCTGCACTGCAGCCTTGCAGGGGGTCTCCGGCCCCTACAAACTTGGTTTTACTTGGGCGGTGCTGGGGGTTATTTCAGTGGTACCAGAGGGAGATTGAACCTGGGCCTGGGGCCCCTGAGCGGCTCCTGGCACTGACCCGTAGGACTGACCTCGCAGGTCCTGTCCCCTACAGCCCTCCGGGGTAGGCAGGAGGAGGGGGCGAGAGCACCCCGACTTGGGGCCCTGCCTAGGCCTCACAGGCAGGCGGAGGCTGGCCAAGCAGGCCGGCTGGCCCAGGGCACAGTGAGGTCCACTAGTGAGTGGGGGACCCTGCGATGTGGTCCCCGCCACTAGCCACCCCGGGCTCCAGCCGCAACCCACCCCTGAACATTGCTTCCTCGTAAAGCAGCTCTGTGGGCTCCTGCAGTTGCCCCCCGCCATCAGGCTGGGGCGACCACGGGGTGGGGGGGACAGGGGACCCCCCCCGACTGTCTCCAGTGCTCCTGCTCTCAGCCCGTGGCACAAACACTGCTGCCTCTCTGAGTAGGGGTTGGCCCCTGTCCCGAGGGCCGCGTCTCCCCTCCTGCTCACCGTCCCCCCAGTGGGCCAGGGACCCCAACAGAGCCTCGGGGTCTGCCTCAGGGAGTCCTGAGGCCCAGGTGGTGCCCGGCTCACTTTTGAAGCAAGAAACTTGAGCAGGGAGGAGCCCTGAGCTTGAGAAGGAAGATTCCAGAGTGAGAGCAGGGGTGGGCCACTGCATCCGGCCACTCCAGGACGGTCTCCAGCACCCTGGATGGGGCTCTGAGGAGCCCCAGGAGTGACCCTCTGGGCCAGGACAAAGCCCTGAGCACCGCCAGGTGTGGCCCCTTTCCAATCCACTCCCCTCCCCTCCCAACACCTGTGAGGTTCAGGCCCATCCGGGCTGCCCCACCCAGCCTGAGGGTTGCTCCCTGCAGGACCGGGGATGGAGGCCCACCCAGACCTCTGCAGGACAGAGCCAGTGCCCAGCCCCTGACCCATCTTCCCCGGCTGATCTCACCCTCCCAGAGCTCTGGGAACCCCTTCCAGGCAGTGGGCCCTGCAGAGCCCAAAGCCCCAGGTGGGTAACGGGCAAGAGCGGAGGGCTGGGGGGTGCAGGGGGGCATCCCACCCATTGCCTGTCAGACACCTGTGACTACCGCTTTGCTTTGGGGGAACAGTGAGGCCTGCCTGCCTGCCCCACCCCTACCTGTGTGGGCGCCTGTCCCTCAGCCAGGCAGGAGGTGGATGGGAGGCAGGCTACTATCCCCCACAGCAGCCTGTGGGTGTAACTGGGGCACCCCCTAGAGTTGTGAGGGGCCGGATGCCTTGGAACAGAGCTGCTGGTGTGGGAGACGGACTCCCGGGCACCCAAGCCAGGTGTGCGGTGGTGCCGGTGCCAGGAGGGGCCCGTCCCATCAGCTCTGAGCAGCCAGGACCTGGTTGGTGTTTCAATCCGGATCATGACCACGGATTGAATTTCAGCCTCTTTTCTGGGGCTCTTGGAGTTTAAACATGGGGGGTCCCTGGGAGGTGGACATTGACCCACGCTCTGGGCTCTGCTGCAGGACCGCCCTGCCCCCACACAGGGTTTAGAGGGGGGTGGGGTGCGGGGCTCCTTCCTGTCGGGATCAGGAGGGTGGGGCGCCCCTGCCCATGGCTGAGCTGGTCCCACAGAGGCTCGCTGGCTGGCTCGTTCACCGCCCCCCAACCCCCTCTCCAGTGTCCCCGCTTTGAACCCATGTCCCAAATTCTCAGCCCTTTCACTTGCCACCTGGGGACAGGTGAGCTTTGAGGCTGGGCTGGCAGGTGCTGGGGGAGGGGGGTTGGGGGAAGAGGCAGGACAAAGAACTGGGACTTATTCTAGAAAAACCAGCTCAGCCAGAGGATGGGGAGGGGAGGGGTGAGGAGGACTGTGGAGAGGAGCGGGAGGAGGGGAGAAGGGAGAGGGGGAGGAAGGGGGAAGGGAGCGCGGGAGCAGGAGGGAGAGGGGAGGAGTCAGGATGGAAGGTTGGGGGCTGTGAGGGGGGACCCCAAGTTGATGGCAGACTAGCACCTTCTAGGCCCAGGAAGAGGATGAGGGAGAGGGAGGAGAGAGAGGAAGGGAGAGAGGAGGGAGAAGAAGGGAGGAAGGAGGAAGAGGAGGGGAGGGGAGGGAGAGAGGGAGGAAGGAGAGGGGCTGGCTGGGCGTCACTGGATCTCAGCCAGCCTGCAGCACTTGACGCCCAGCAGGTGCTGGTCTGGGTCATCCTGTCCTTTATACCCCGTGCACCCCATCACCCTAACAGTCGGAGTGATGGGCGGGGTCCAGGGCAGCGTCCAGGGCAGGCAGGATACAAGCTCTTGCTCCCACCTGCCCATACAGGAGGCTGGAAGGGCCTGACCGCTTCCTCAGCCCAAGGACTGCAGCCCCTTGGGGTCAAGGGCAGGTCCAGGGCTTGCTGGGAGATGGAGATCCTTGCACCTCTCTGGGGGTGGGGTCCTGTGGAAACCAGCTGCCACGGAGGGACCCTGTCCACTGGCCTGTCCCAGTCCCTCCCGGGCTCCATGGTCCTGCAAGGCCAAGGGCACCTGATCCACACTCAGAACACGGGGTGGGGTAGGGTGGGATGAGGGAGGGGCCCTTTATACCTCTCTGAGCTGCGGGGGCAGCGAGGGTGAGGTGACCCCTGGAGAGGGCTGACCTCAGCCCTGGGGGCCAATGTTCAGAAGCTGGGGATCCTCAGGAGACTTGGGGCTGGAATACGGTTGGTCAAGCACGCACCTTGCAAGCAGTGAGACCTGGGTTCCATCCTCAGATCAAAAGAAAAGGGGAAATGAGGGGGGCTCCCCCTCCTCCTAGCCCCCTAGGTCTACCATGGGGCGGAGGGGATCTGGAGATTCTTCAGAGGTCCAAGCTGCCCCCCAGGTCACCGGGGTCAGAGAAGGGAACCTGCAGCTTTTTTGTTTGGCTTTTGGGTCACACCCAGTGATGCTCAGGGGTTACTCCTGGCTCTGCACCCAGGAATTACTCCTGGTAGTGCCCAGGAGACCATATGGGGTGCCAGGGATTGCACCCGGGTCAGCTGTGTGCAAGGCCAGCGCCCTCCCTGCTGTGCTATGACCCCGGCCTGACAGTTATCTCATGAATCTGCAAAGCCCCAGCCCGGCTTCCAGCACCGGATGACACCAGGGACTGTCACTCACAGGAGAAGGGGAGATGCTGAGTGGGCAGGACCCTCCCCCCCACAGGAGCTATAGGAGCAGAAGGAGGCAGGGTGGGGGTACAGGGGCTGCGGGCAGCAAGGGAGTGTGTGTGTGTGCACGTGTGTGCATGTGTGTGCATGTGTGTATACATGCGTGTGTGCATATGTACATGTGTGCATGTGCGTGCATGTACTCCTCCAGGATAAGGTGCTTGCAGCAGCTGCCAGGTTCTCCCAGTTGGCACCCAGAGATGCACGACCTTTGCAGGAGAAGGTCTGGCTGAGCAGGCGGGTGGACATGGAGACAGGTGGGTCCTCCTGGGTCAAGCTCAGGACAGGGGCCGGCGTAACCTGTGGCCACCGCACGGCACACCCCATGCCTACCAGGCTTTGCTTCTGAAGGTGTTCCGGAGGGTCTGGGTCCCCATACAGGAAGGGGGTTCGGCCACACCCTCATCCTCCGCCAGGCCTGTGTCTCTCTGTAACTCCCCACTCAGATCCCGTGAGAGGTTGTGGGGAGTGGGCAGACTTGGGGCCACCCCAGGGGTGAAACAGTGAGACTGACCTTCCCGGCTGCTGCGGGCACCGCAGAGGGGTGGGGAGGGGGCTAGCTGGCTGAGAGCTGTAGCCTTTTCTTTTCGCTGGTGTTTGGGCCGCACGGGCGATGCTCGGGGTCATTCACTCCTGGGGGGGGCTCAGGGGCCCCTTAAGGGATGCCGGGGTGGGACTGGGTCCGCAGCGTGCCAGCCGCCCTGGCCCGCTGTCCTGTGCGCTGGCCCCGGCGGGCCTTTCCGAGGCTGGTGCCCACCGTAGGAAAGCGCCAGCCCGGCTCCGGCTGCTCGGGGGTCCCCGTGCCGGAGGGCGGGGTGGACATCCGGGAGAGCCAGTGGGGAGAGCCCCGCGGGGTGGACATCCGGGAGAGCCAGTGAGCCCCAACGCCCACGGACAGCATCTCGGCGCAATGAACACCGCGAAGCGCACGTGGTTTCCTTCTCGTTTCTTTTTTGCACTCAAATATTACAACCGACGTCCCAGACCCTGTTTCCAGCCGAGCACCTGCAGCCAATCAGAGAAACCCGTTGCCACCAGCCAGCCAATCAGAATCCTTCGCCCGCCCCGGCAGCCAATGGGATCTCTCCGCGCTCCCCGCCTGAGCCCCGCCCCGCGGGCCGCGCCTCGGGGCGGCCCTAGACCCAGGCGCACGGGTTTTATTTTTTTGGGTTTTTTTTATTAAAAAGCAAGAGTCAGAAATAAAAATCAAAGGTTTCCGTTGGTCAAGATTTAAAAATAAAAAGGTTTCTTCCTGCAGCCAATCACGAGTCTGTCCCTGGGGGCCCATCATCGGGGGGAGCGGGGCCTCTCCTGGGCGCGGGTGGGGCGGGGTCCACGGGGCGGGGCCCTGCGGGCGGCGTGTCCACGTGTCCACGGCTACTGCCTGCGGTCCTCCGTCTCCGACCTGGAGAAGGCCATCACCACGTCCTCGGCGCCTGCAAGGGGAGACAGTGTCCACTGTGGGCCTCCCGTCCAGCCCGGGGGTCAGCGGGTCGCAGGGGGACTGTGGGCAGGGGCTGGCCAGGGCCCCCGGGGCTTGCCAGCGGCCTCTCCGGGGGCTCTTGCTCCTCCCGGTGCCTGAGTCCTCCCCTTCGCCCCAGCCCAGCATCTGCTCCCAGGCAGAGGCGCGAGGCCAGGCCAGGAACACGCAGGGGCTGGCCACCGGCTCTGCTGTGGTTATTTTTAATCCTGGATCGGAGATTCTGTCCAGGCACCCATGAGATCACTTCCTTTGTCTTGTTGTCCCGAAGGCAGGCTGGGACGCGCGCAGCCCGCAGCCTGCAGCCTGCAGAGCCGGAGGGAGGGCGGGGAGCCGGTGCCGCTGACCTGAGTGCCCACCCCTGGGGCAGGGCAGCTGGGGTGGCCGCCTGCCCGTGGGCCTGCGGTTCCTACGGGGGCGGCCGCGAGCAGCAGCGTGGTCCTCCTGGCACCCCTCCCTTCTGCATGTGGAAGGCAGGGTGGGGGCAAGCTCCCACCCCCAGTCTGAGTCACAGGCTGGGGAGTCCCCCAGCACCAGCGGCCTCCCCCTGGCCACCAGCAGGAGGGAGCCCGGGCCCGCGGGCTGCAGGGGGGCTTGGGAGGGCCAGGCGGGCACCCTGCTGCCAGCAGCCCCCTCCGCGCTGCACGCCTCCCCCGATGCGGCTTCTGTGCCTGGGAACCCGACAAACGGCTTCCTCGGCTTCCTCATCTTCTCGGGAACATTCTGTTCTCGCCTCAGCCTGGGACCACGCACTCACACTGCTGCGGAGTTTTCCTAGCAACGACGGGTCCAGGATGACGTCACACCCCGCAGATGCCCTTGCTTCTTCCCGGCTGGCTCCCCCTCCTTGCAGGGCGCCTCTGCCTCGGGGACCTTCTTGGGGGGGGCCTTGGGTTGCTTCGGGTGCGAGAACAGCATGGGGGCTCTGGGGGGGGGGGGAGGCTGGTCCCCGCAGGGATCACAGGACTCGCACCTGCAAGGCAGGTGACCTTCTGAAGGTCACACAGGGACAACAGCTGAACAGAATGTCAGAGGTTTTTTTTTTTCCCTCTTTTTGGGTCACACCCGGTGATGCACAGGGGTTACTCCTGGCACTGCACTCAGGAGTTACTCCTGGCGGTGCTCAGGGGACCATATGGGATGCTGGGAATCGAACCCGGGTCGGCCGCGTGCAAGGCAAACGCCCTACCCGCTGTGCTCTCTCTCCAGCCCCCAGTTTTTTTTCCCCCCTGTTTGGGTCACAGCAGGCGATGCTCAGGGGTTACTCCTGGCTCTGCACTCAGGAATCACTCCTGGCGGTACTCAGGGAACCACATGAGATGCCGGGGACAGAACCCAGGTTGGCCGCTGTACTATCGCTCCAGCCCCGAGGATGCCAGAGTGGAGGACTGACCTGTTGGGGTGACCCGGCTGGCCGGGGAGGTTGGGACTGTTTGGGGGCCCCCCACCTGGCACCTCATGGACTTGCTATTTTCTGGTTCACGGGGCTCTGCCTTCCTAAGGCCACGAAGGTGCAGCCCCTCCTGGCTGCTGTTCCTCTCATCTCTGCTGGACGGCCTTGACAGGCTGCCCAGGAACTGCACTGCCACCAGAACATCAGCCTGCCCTCCCCTCCCCTCGTGCCCCCTCCAGCTAGGCCAGCCTTAACCCCTGCACGGCAGGGGGCTTGGAGGCATTTGGGCCATGCCAGGCACTGTTCTCAGGAGTGACCCCTGATTCTACCTGATGCCAGGGATTTAAACAGGAGCTGGTGGCCACATGCGAGGCCGCTGCTCCATCCTCTGCACCATCTCTCCGACCTAAACTCGCAGCGATTATCCTACTTAACGGGGAAAGCCTAACACTCCAGACCGGAGGAGAGGAGGGCGTCCCCACAGCTCCTCTCAGTATCGTGTTCCAGCCAGCGCAGCGAACGGCAAGATTACTCCAACCATGGAGGGAGAAATAAAGCAGCAGGCGGGGAGCTAAGCCTCTAGGGGCGGCATGCGTGCCCAGCGGTGCGAGCTGGGGCTCTGTGCCTTCTGAGCACCAGGCACTGAGGGTGTGGCCCCCAAACAAAAGGACAAACACAGGAGTGACCTTTAAGCTCTGGGATGAGGAAGTGGCTCAGCCCGGGGACACCCACACAGAAGGAAGGGAAATAAGGGCTGGGATGGGACAGGGGCCAGGTTCGAATACCGGCACTGCACAGGGACCCCCAGACCCCATCACGAGTGACCCCTGATCACAGAGCCAGGAACAGCCCCTGAGCACGCCACTGTGATCCCACCACCTCCCAATGGAAAAATATTGGTTTTGAATACTACAAAATTTTATTGTTGTTACTAGTGTTTCATTTTGGGGCCATACCTGCAGTACACAGGGCTTAGTCCTGGCTCTGTGCTCAGGGATCATTCCTGGCGTTCAGAGGACCATATGAGGTGCCAAGGAATCAAACCCGAGTCGTGTGCAAGGCCAACCTGCTGTACTACCGCTGAGCCCAGTATGATAAAAAAAATTAATAACAAAAAGTAGCTGGAGGGGCCAGAACGGTAGTCCAACAGGGAGGGCGTTTGCCTTACATGTGGCCGACCTGGGTTTGATCCCTGGCATGCCATATGGTCCCCTGAGCACAGCCAGGAGTGATTCCTGAGCGCAGAGTCAGGAGCAAGCCCCGAGCATCACCAGGTGTGACTCAAAAAGCCAAAAAATAAATAAATAAATAAATAAATAGTACTGATAGCACTGTTCTACTGTGTCCAAATTTATCAATTTGCTCGAGCGGGCACCAGTAACGTCTCCATTGTGAGACTTGTTGTTACTGTTTTTGGCATACTGAATTCACCACAGGGAACTTGCCCGGCTCTGCCGTGCGGGCGGGATACTCTCGGTAGCTTGCCGGGCTCTCCGGGAGGGGCAGAGGGAAAATAAATAAATAAAAAGAAAAAGGAAAAAAGCTGGAAAGCTGAGCTATTACAGGGGGCAGGGCATCTGTTTTGCACGCAGCTGACTCGGGTTCAATTCCTGGCACCCCTTTTGATGCCCTTTGAGCACTCTCACGAGTAATTCTTGAGTGCACAGCCAAGAAAAACAGTGAAAGTGGGCTTGATACTTCAGGCCTGGGGCGCGGCTGAGGCACCCCTGCCCACTCCCCTCCTCCCCCTGCAGAGTAGGCACAGGGTTCTGTGGCCCTGCACAAGGGGAGCAAACAGGCAGTGAGGACAGGGAGGGAAAGGGGCCCGGACAGTGGACAGGCAGGTAGAGGGGGAGAGGAGGGGGGGCTGCGCCCGCCCCCTCCCTTCCCACCTGCACTCCCCTTCTGAGGCACACACTGAGGTCATCCCTGCCCCCGGGGCTCCCAAAGCCCCCCAAGCCACGCCGAGCATGACCCTGTGAGTCAGGCCAGCTGCCCTCTGCCCCGAGGTGTCACCCCCCCAGATCCTACCTGGGGCGCCAGATCAGCGTGGAAGCTGCCGCCTGTGGCTTTCCAACTGGGGGTCCCCACTGTGTGCTCAGGGGCCCCATGTGGGGGTCTCCCTGTGTGCTCAGGGCCTCATCTGGCACTGAGGACCTGACAGTTCACTGGGGGCTCCCACTCGGGGCACCCAGCCCCCCGCCTCCTCCCTGCCCCCTCACTCTCAGGGTCTCTCGGTGTGAGGCCCCGTGGCCCAGCGCTGACTGTGGCTTTGGGGTGCCAGGTCTGATCTCTGGCACCACCCTCACCCCCCTAAACCATCTGAGCTTCCTTCGGGGCTGAGGCGATATTCAGAGGGCAGGGCCCAGGGTTTGCATGGAGGCCCCTGCGCCCCGGACCTGGTGCCCACGGCCTCCTGAGCCCCTCCAACTAACGAGAGACATCAGGAGGACCCGCAGTGACCCACCCACGCAGGAGGGGGGAACTGGGTGCCTGGCCCGGCCCCTTGCATTCCGGGGCTTCCTACTCCTACCAGGATGGAAGCAGCACCCGGATCTGGCGAGCGAAGCAGTCTGGGCCATCTAGACGCGCCGAGTCCAACCCGGCAGGAGTTCCCTGGGGTTCCCCCCTCCCGCTGACCCTGTGCATGGTGGCCTTAGGCCTTAGGGCTGGGTGTGCTTTCTGCAGTGCCAGTGATGGAATCTCGGTCCTGCGTGAGCTGGGAAGTGTCTGCCGGGGAGCCCTAGGCCGGGCGGGACCGGATCTGCCCCTTTAACAGAACCAGGCGGGTGGAGGGCGGGAGAGAAGCATGCCAAGCATGCAGGTCAGAGGAGGGCAGCGGACAATGGGTGAGGGGGCAGTGGGCAGGCTCAGGGCATAAACCCGGCCCTACACCCCGCTTCCCGCTGGGGGCTGCGGTACAGGGTCAGTGGGTCAGTGAAGTTCAGAGAGGGCCCCCCGGGCGGGCACCAGGCACCCCCGATCCGGAGACAGCACGGCCAGCAGGGTGCAAGCAGGCCTCTGCCCACCACAGGGTCATTCAGGGCTCTGGCGGGTTGAGACGCGTGGGGTGCTGGCCGGGGTGCTGATCGCACACTGCCCCTTCCTCCCCCGCTCTGGGCACAGCTGGCCACCGGGCTCTTCCGCCCAACTCTGCCCAGTCCCAAGGGGCTGGGGGCAGACCCTCCCCGAGGCACCCCTGGGCTGGGCCCGGCTCACTCAGCGCCTGCGTAGGCAGGCAGACACCAGAACCACAGCGCTGGGAGCCCAGGGTCACGCTGCCCGCGGTGGCCGTGCCAGCTCCCGAGGTGCCAGGCGCTGGCCGTGCAGCCTGGGGGCGGAGGGGTCGTGAGCACCCTGCAAAGAGCCTCCCGGCCACCTCCAGGCTCCAGTTTGGTCCTTCCTTCTCCTCCCGCAGGTCATGGGGAGTCCCAGTGCTCTGTGCCCTGACCCCCACCTGCACCCACTCAGCGGCCAGGGCTTCTGCACGCCCGGCTTGACCACAAGATGGAGCAGGGCCTGCCAAGGGACTCAGGAACAAGTGCTCGCGGGGACTCTGGCAGAGGCCGTCCTGGTGGAGGCCCTGAGTGAGCCCCTAGACAGTGCCTGTGGCAGGATCTGTGTCTGAGGTGCCGCCCACCATCTGGACCCTGGGGCTGCCCCACAGGTCACACACCCAGGGGTGCACAGACGTGGCCTAATCAGTGCCCGCTGCTCCTCTATGACAGGCCGCTCGGCGGTTACGCCAGTGGGGTCCCTGTCACCTGCCTCATCCCTGCAGTGCTCCGGGCCTGTGTTAAACCTCTCCTCCGTGCTGCACACCCCGTGCCCCGTGCCCTGTGTCCCAGTCTGTCACCCCCCACCCAGGGGTTGCCCTCCCCACTCCTGCTCTGTGGAACTGGGAATAAAGGTGGCTGACTACTGTCTGGTCATGCGTCTGCAACCACTGGGGAACGTCTATTGGCCCGAACGCACCCGGGACCCTTAGGGACACCCCCCGCCACCGTCACCGCAGGATGGTGACTCTGAGTTTAGACGCCCACTCAGCCCACCGGCGCCCCAACCCCACCACCCTGCGTCCAGCGCTCACTGGCCAGCTGCGTCTGTGCTCTGACTCTTGACCCCAATACGAGTTTCCTGAGATCAGACACCAGGACAGAGCCGGGGTGCAGGGGCCGCCCCCAGCGTTTCTCACAAACAGCTGGGCCCTCAGCTGAACAGTCCCCAGACCCCGCAGCACCCTGGTCCTCTGGGGGAGGTTTCTCTGCACCATCTGGGGGTGTGGCCTGTTAGCGCTTCCCCGAGCCAGCGTCTGCCCAGGTGATGTGGAACTGGGACTAAAGGTTGCTGACTACTGGGTTAGTGACTGTCAGCAGGATTACAATCCAACCCGGGAAGACCCCTCCCGTCTCTGAGCGCCCCAGGGCCGGGCGGGGATTTCATGCCAGTCTGTTATCACGGAGGGGGGGGCAGCACCCCAGCAGGCGGGCTGGACACCCCGGGGCCCTGCACACAGGACACGCCTCCCCCAGACAGGCCCCAGCTCAGGGTACGCCTGGAGCTACAGACATTTGGAAAGGAGACACGGGGCTGCGCCCAGACAGCCCCCGGGGACCTGAGCCAGAGATAAGGGCAAGTGCAGAGGTTGAAGGGGCATGGGAGAAGGTTCTGGAAAATGGCACACACACGAAGCAGAGACCTGGAGCAGAGGAGCTCCGCTGTGCGGGGTGAGGGAGGGGACGCCAGGGAAGGGAGCGCAGGGACATGGGGACAGCCGTGCCACTGGGTGAGAGCATGAGCCTGAGCACACACGTGTCTCTGTACACGCGTGTCTGCATTTTAGTATGTGGGTCTGAGCTTGTGTGTGTGAGCATGAGTTTGTGGACCTGTGTGTGGGTCTGTGTGAGCGTGTGCGAGTCTATGGACATAGTCGAACCTCTGTGTGAGCATGTGTGTCTCTGTGTGTTTGTGTGCATGTGTGTGAGCATGTGTGAGACTACGTACATGTAAGAATGTGTGTCCTGTGGCATGCTTGCATGTGAGGGTATGTGTGGGTCTGTACAACATGTGAGTCTGTGTACATGTCTTTTAGGACTGTATGAATTGGGGCTGGAGCGATAGCACAGCGGGTAAGGTGTTTGCCTAGCACACGGCCGACCTGGGTTCGATTCCCAGCATCCCATAGAGTCCCCTGAGCACCACCAGGGGTAATTCCTGAGTGCAGAGCCAGGAGTAATCCCTGTGCATTGCCAGGTGTGTCCCAAAACACACACACACACACGCACACACACAAAAAAAGACTATCAATCTGTGTGGGAGCATGAAGTACGTGTGAGTCTGTGGGCGTGCGTGTGAATCTGCATCTGTGTGGGAGCATGTAGCATGCATGAGTGGGGTGGCTCTGCCTGACCGTAGCCCTCTCAGTTCCAGGGTAGCTGGGAAGCAGGTCACCTGCCCAGCAACCACCACAGCAGCCCACCCTGAGCCCTGTGACCTGGTTTCTGGAGGTCCCGGCAGGTGGGAGCAAGGGCAGCTGGGTCTAGCCTGACGCCCTGCGGACGGGAACAGCGAGGATGAGGGGGGAGGCAGGGCATGGTGGCGGCCCCAGGGCCCCTGAGCTCACTGGGTGGAGCCTCCTGAAAGCAAACGGGAGTTTGGTGCCACAGAGGGCTTGGTGAGTTTGATCCTGGGCACCACACTGTCCCCTAGCACTGCAGGAGTGACCCCAGCACAGACACGGGCGAGACCCAAAGGGCACCAAGTGGGCGGGTCAGAAGCCTCTCTGCAGTGGCCGCGCTCTCCTGGCTTCCCTAGTCCCACGGGGACCCCTCTGCTCAGGAGGGTTCTCGGGGTGACCGGGCCCCAGCCTGGCACGGGGAGGGCTTCCCTGCATGTCCCCTGCCACCATAGCACAAACAGGGGGTGCACAGCCCAGCGGGCAGTGAGGCCTGGCCAGGCGGCGGGCAGCACAGCTGCGAGAATGCCGCTTGGAAAGTGTTTAAGAACAGAGAAATGGTAGAGAAATGCCGTTAACGCAGCTGGGAAGGAAAGGGGAGCAGGGGGCCTGGCAGGAAGGGCCTGTGTCCACGCACGAGGCCACGAGTCAACCTCCGATGCTGCCCACCTGTGCCAAGTGCTGTCCAGGAAACTGTCTTCTGGGACTCCTGGCCCGGCCCCATTACAGTGCAGATCTCTGGAGCCCAGAGGTGGGCAGGGGGGATGGAAGAAGGTAGGAAGTCGGCCTCAGGGTGGTTCTTGGGGACCCCACGGTCGCCTCCTTCCTACTCCCACAGACACGGGGGCCAACACACAAACTTGGGCTCTGCACACGGACACAGAACACTGACCCCCTGCACTGTCTCACACGTGCACTGAGCCGCGCCCCCCCCACCCCCAGCCCCGGCCGCTCTGGGGAAACCCAGGCACACCTGTCTTTACTGGGGGTCCCGGCGACGTGGGGTCACTCTGCTCTGGGGATGCTTGGACCACCCCTGGCGGTGCATAGGGGACTGGGCAGTGCCAGGGATTGAACCCAGGTCAGCTGCGTGCACAGCAAGCACCCTATCCTCCGGCCCATCTCTCTGGCCCACGTCTCGTTCTAAGAGGAGAAACTGAGTGACCAGCACTGGACCGAGGCTCCGTGCTCAGTGCTGTGCATGACCTTCCAGCTGGGAGACACCCGGCGATGCTCGGTAACCACCCAGGGTGCGGGGATGGACCCAGGTGGAGGCTGTAACTCTCAGATGCAGCCCTGGGGCTCAGTCCGGCCTGAGCCAGGGCAACCTCCCCCATGCCCTCTGGCTTCTCTGGTGATGCCAGAGGAGAGGGACTGGGAGGGTCCCAGGAGGTCAGGGTGACACCAGCTCAGTGACCGAGGACAGAGGCGAAAGGACAGGTTATGCGTGACGTCACATCTGGGGCTATGTGGACACTAGCTCTGGGGGCCGCGCCTGGGGCAGGGGCGCCAGCCCATTCTGCTCCCTGAACCGCGGGGAGGGCAGTGGGGCTGGTTATCGGGCACTTCCGGGATGAGAGGCGGCGTGTGCGCAGGTGTGAGGGGGCCCAAGGGAGCGGCGGCGACCACAGGTTTGCTGAGAGACAGCGCCACCTGGTGGTGACAGGCGATCACGGCCGGCATCTATGCCCCTACCAAACTGGGGGTCCCTGGGGGCAACCTCGATCCAGCCCTGCTGCTGACAGCAGCAAATCCTGAGAGGCGCAGCTTTGGGGAGACTCCGGTAGTGAGGGGGCTGAGGTGAACCTGCTCGGGGGCCGGGGCTGGGCCTAGGCCAGCTGCAACCCAGGGTGGCTTGCCTGGACATCTCTGGGCTCAGAAAGTCACGGGTAGCTTGTAGATCCCCACAGGCCCCAGTGCCCAGGACCCCCAGCCGAGAGCACAGCATACATTAGGGGGCCCTGGTCGCCCTGGCCAGGAGGGAGCCTCGGGGGCACAGTCCCTGCTCAAACGGCAGTTTCCGACCAAGTGCTTCTCGCGTACGGCTGGAGGGACTGGACACAGTAAAGGGGTATGGCTTGGGGACAGAGCGATAGGACTGGGAGGGAAGGGCACTCGCCTTGCACGTGGCTGCCACAGCTTCAGTCCCCAGGATCCCAAGGGGTCCCCCGAGCCCCGCCAGGAGGGATCCCTGAGCGCAGTGGGTGTGGCCCAGGCCCCACTTCCCCTGAAGTAATTATTCGGGGCTGCAGAGATAGCTCAGTGGGTAGGGCACTCGCCTTGCACATGGTCAGCCTGGGCTCAATCTCTAGCATCCCCCAGCCCGCTGGGAGTAACGTCTGAGTGCAGAGCGCAGATCCCTGAGCAGTGAGTGCCAGGGGTGGTCCAAATTCCACAAAAGAAGAGGTCACAAAATGCGTGACTGAGAAGGTCAAGGTGACCATCAGGCTACCGAGAGTCATGTGGTTTGAGTACACCCATGGGGTTCACACAGACATGGGGCGCTGAACGTGACACTGGGGTCTACACACTGGCTCCCTGCAGCCGGCAGCAAGACCGCTCGGCTGACTCGGGGCCCGGCCTGACCACCCAGGAGAACGGGCAGCGCATCCAGTGGCCTGGGAAGCGCCCGGCGCTCCTGCCCGGCCCAGCAAGGCCGTGGTGCTGCCTCTGACCGTTCCCCGCCCCAACGGCCGTGGGAACAGCGAGTAGAGCCATGGGCAGAAGCCAGGCACCGCCCGCTCCGTCGGCAGGAGCGACCGTGCCCGGCTGGGTACCAAGGAGCACTCAGGCCCCACGAGGAGCACTCAGGCCATGGGGTGCCCGGGCCTCGAAGCCCCCGCCCGCACTGCCTCCCGAGGCAAAGGGGCGGTCGCGGCACTCACCCTGGTCGATGGCGTGCGGTGGCAGCTGGCTCAGTTGGGTGCTCACGACGCCCGCGTACGTCCGCAGGAACTCCTCCTCGCTGGCCGTGAGCTGCGGGCGGATGGGGCGGTGAGGGCCCCGTGCCAGGCATGGCCTCGACCCGCACCCCCCCCCCGCGGTCCCGTGGCCCAGCACTCACGTTGGAGCCCATCTTCCGAAGCATGAGCAGCACACGCACCTTCTGCTGGATGTACATCTCCTCGGGACTCTTCCCGGGCGGCCCCTCGCGGTTCATCCCCTGGCCAGCTCAGGGCACCCTGCAGGAGGGGCAGCGGGAGAGCCGGTGACGCGGAGCGGGGCGGGCAGGCGCCCGAGAGCAGGGCTTTGGGCGAGTCAGAAATATCGCAGCAGGGCTTTGGGCGAGTCAGAAATATCGCAGCAGCTGGCGGGGGCGGAGCCGCCGGGCGACCCGCCTGGGCTGGGCCCGGGAGCAGCGGGTCCGAACACGCCGCGGCCACCATCCGCCCAGCCCTGGGGCCCGGCCAGTCCCGGGCCAGGCGGCCAGGGACACCGGGAGAGCCCGTCACACTGGTCCCTAGGGACTCAGGGGACTGTCGACCTGAGACATGTGAGCAGGTGGCAAGAGGCCAACCTGGGCCTGGGGCTGGGGGGTGCCTCCCGCCTCCACGGTCACCATGGGGCCCGGCCCACGCCCGTGTTTCTGGGACGCGGAGGAGCCCTTATGCCCCATGACCTGGACCCGGGCCCTGGGTTGCTGGGGAAGGATGGGGGGTGGGAACACACCGGGCGGTGCTCAGGGCCTACTCCCAGCTCAGTGCTCAGGGGCTGAGGTGCCAGGGCTGGAGCCTGGGCCTCCCACGTACAAAGCCTGGCTCTGCCCACTGGGCCACCTCCTCTGGGCCTCCAAACCTCATCCCCCATCCCTGCAGAGGTGCCCCCCGCCACCTACCCACCCCCGCCAGCCCTTCCTGACGTGCGAGCCAAGCTGTTCTAGGGCCTCCAGTCACCTGGCCACTGGTCAGTCTGGCTGTCCCAGGGCTCTCAGAACTCTATGACACACACACACACTCACAAAAACACACACTGATATACATACTCTCACATACGCCCTCACAAACACACACACTCACAAACTCACACATACACACACTCGCAAACTCTCACATATACTCATATATGCACAAACACACACAAATTCTTACATACACACACACACATATACACACACACTCCCACACGTATTCTCACTCATATACACCGCACACTCACAAAGTCATATACACACACATTTTTACATATAAATTCACACATGCACACACAAACTTACACACACACTCTCGCACATGCATACTCACATACATGCACACACAAACTCACACACAAACTCACACACATGCACACACACACGCACACACGTAGATTCCCAAGCATGCACGCAGTCATGTGCACTCACACACGTCCTGTGCAGTCCTGCATGGTCACTTCGCACATCCACAGCGGCTGGCGCCGGGCAGCAGAGTGCTCGTACCCCACAAGGCCTTCGGGCTGGGCGGCCCCTCTGCACGGCGCCCCTCAGGAAACAAGGTGCTTGGCAGGGCAAGAGGTCCATAGTGGCCACTAGGTGTCACCGCACTCACAACCTGCGCTCTGATAGGCCCCCTGGGCGAAGCCCTGTGTGATCCCTGAACCCTGGGGTCCTGTCCCCTCCTTACCGTCCACCTGCTAAGTAAAGGAGGAGGAGGAGGAGGAGGAGGAGGAGGAGGACAGGGGCTTGGAGCAGGCGGGAGAGGAAGGCCGGAGGGGCTTAGCACAGGCCAGCGGCACGGCCTGGGAAGGCCAGAGTCACCTCCTTGGGGCCCCTCAGACACATGGGCCCCACTGCCCGAAGATTTCGGTTCCTGCCTTTGGTCCATGCAGGGGTCAAGGCACCGGCCTTGCATGCGGCTGACCTGGGGTTCCGTTCCCATCACCACACGGTCCCCTGACCACCACCCGGGACCCCGAGACCCAAGTGTGGCTGCGCGCTGCAGCACCCCAGCCCCTGACCGATGGTGCAGGCCTTGCTTGCGGCCAACCTTGGTTCGATCCCCGGCAGAGGGTCCCGGAGTACCGCCAGGAGGGACCCCTGAGCATCCCTGGCATGGCCCCCAAACAAGACAAACCACCCCCCAAGGTTGTGCAGCATTTTAAACACAGGAGAGAAATGTCCCCTTACCTGTGGACACTGCACCAATCGTGCGCCTCAGAGCCCAGAGAAAACGGAACCTAAGGTCCAAGAGACAGTCCCAGGGTTAGACTGGAGGCTCCGGTTCTGTCCCCAGCGGGAGTGACCTCCCCAAGCACCCCAGGCGACCCCAGAACAAAGGCGAAGCAGAGCGAATCCAGAGCCACGGCTGTCACAGCACCACCCCGGTCCCCCCCCCCCCCCCCCGCCAAGCAGGTCACATCACCACCCCGGGTTGCCGGCCAAAGCAAGCATACCCCAGGACACACTCCCCGGGGCCCTCGAGTCCTTACCTGCTGCTGGAATCGCACTGCAGGCCGCAGAGCGCGTGCGGGCGGGCCCTGCGGGAGAGGGCGGGTCAGGGCGGCCGGCAGGAAAGACCTGTGTGTCCGCCACCCTGTGTGTCCGCCACCCTGTGTGTCCGCCACCCGGAGCCGTGCCTGGCAGCTGTGCGGCGTTCGACCCTACGTTCCCGGCCAAAGCAGGTCACACGCGCCCTCCTGGGCTTAGTCACCAGGAACCCGCGTCCCACCCGCCAGTGACGTGTGCCAGTGCATGTGTGCTGGCTCAGCGTCCCACAGTGCGTGACACACGCCCGCACAGGCCGGTCCCTCCCGCCTCCTGCCCAGGCACCCGAGCCCCAGGAACGGTTTGGGGCTCGGTGTGTCTCCGTGGGCACTCGGCAGGTGCTGGGGGCAGCGTGGGGGGCCATCCCGCCCACCCACTCCCGTTAACCAGTCCTTGAGGGTTTGGGTAGAGACCCCAGGCCCCTGGTCTCAGGCAGCCTCTAGGTGGTAGTGTTACGTCACCCACATAAAGACTAAGTAGAGGTGGCAGTGCCAGGCCAGGCTGTGAGGGACAGGGGAAGGGGGTGCCAGGCGGCCCAGGGCTGGCCAGCGAGGAGCTGGTCAGAGTGGGCTGCCAGCTCGGGGCGCTCCGGGCTCTATCGCTCGCTCTCCGGGCTGTGGCAGCTGTTTCCCCCCACACGGCGACTTTCAAAGGTTCTGATGGCAGGGGGGACTCCTACCCGCACCCCAGACTGCTCCTGGGGGGCCAGCCACGAGAGCAATTAACTGCTCCTGTCCTGTGGGGATCAAAGTGCCGGAAGGCCACGGAGCCCAGGGGCTGCCGCACCAACTCCCCTGGGGGATGAAAGCACCGTCTGCGGGGGGCTCCGGCCAAGGACTCGCTCCCCCTCCCGGGCAAGGCCCAGAGGGACTCTGGGGTCTTCCTGGGCCATCAGGCCACCCGGGAGGGTCTCTGGCCTTTCTGGGGCCACCCAGGGTTTCCCGGCCAGCTGGTCCGTTTGTCCTGACAGAGGAGGATGCCGAAGCTCCGGCCGGGGCCCTGAGCCAGTGGGCTCAGCTCTGCTCACTGCTCCTGGGTGCGAGGAGGAGCCGCACCATCACGCAGAGGGCTCTGGCCTTGGGTGTGGCAGACCTGCCTTTGGGTCTTGGTTTCTAGAACCTTCTAGAACCTTCCCCATACGTCCCAGAGGGGCCTCCGAGCCCCAGGAGTCATTCCTGGGCGCAGAGCCGCGAGTCAGCCCTGAGCATCGCCGGGTGTGACCCACAGACATGAAAAGGGAAAAACACGGAAGGGGCTGATCTCCCCCCCCACCTCCCCACCCCCGTCTTGTTCCACGCCTGCCTGGAGGCTCCCCACCCCCAATGACGCAGGGAAAGGCTTTCCAGGACAACAGGCCGGCGCAGGGGACCAGGAGGGGTGCTGTGCTCTGGGGGAACACCCACAAACAGAGGGTGGCGCACCCCACAAATAAGGGGAACACCCACCAGCAGGGAGACACCCCACAAACAGGAAACACCCGCAAAAAGGAATCACCTGCAAACAGGAAACACCCCCCCAGGGGCCCTGCCAGCACCATTCCAGTGCATGGAGGGGTAGCCCGGAGGACGGGGAGGCTCCTCTCTGCTGCCTACCAGGCTTGGTGCCAGCCAGGAATGAGTGGGAGGGGGTGCCAGGCCCTAGGAAGGGACACGCGGCTGGGCTGCAGGCAGGGGGCAGGGCAGGCGTGGAGCTGGGAGGGGCCTCCAGGGGGGCTCTGAGGAGTGGCCAGGCATCACGGGGCACGCTGAGGAGGAGGAGGGTCTGGGGCAAAGGCCCAGGCACCTGCCCAGCATCTGCATGTGGTCCCCAAGCAACCCCCACGAGCAGAGTCAGGGTGAGCCCGTGCACTGGCTGGTGTGACCCGGCCTCTCACCCTGTCATCAGCACTGCGGGCACCAGGGCAGGAGGGGGCTGGTGCACCTGGTCAGGGGAGGCACGCACCAGGCACCAGGCAGCTCTCCAGATGGGGGCTCAGCAGTGCTGGCCCAGGGTCAGCAGCGCCTCCTCTCTGCTGGCGCGGTAGGCACCCTAGAAGGTTCTAGAAACCAAGACCCAAGATGCAGGAAGCAGCTTGCCTGGTTCATCCAACCTGCCACCCTGCCCCAGGTGACGATGGGGGGCGGGGGACGAGGGCACACTCAGGGCTGGGGCGGGGCTGGAACCAGGCAGCAGCGCCAGACCCCTGCACAGAGAACCCCACACTGGTTCTGTTTGGGCCCAGGGATCACCTGGAGGGCCCGAGAGACCGTGCAGGGTGCCGGGGTTTGCCAGCATACAAGGCAAGTGCCTTGCCCACGGAATTACCTCTCTGGCCCCCAGACGAATCTAACCCACCACCCTTTCCTGGTATACAAGTCACTCACACCCTCCTTTAGGCCAGGAACAGAGAGTGGCCCCCAGTGGGTCTGGAACATTCCAGGCTGCCCCCTGCCTGGGTGGGGCTGACATCACCCGCTCGGGGAACACTGCTCTGATGACATGAAGGCTGGAGCCCACGACGGCCCCGTCAGTGACCACGGCCAGCGCCCAGTATCTTGGCCCAAGAGCTGCCCTGCCTCATGGGTCTCCCGGCAGAGAAGCAGCCCTAATGACAGCCCTTGGGCCCAGGGACGCTGAGCCAGGTGCATGGGGACGTGTCCCGAGGCCAGAAGCCCAGAGCTCCTTCCTGCTCTCAGGAGCTGGGACTGTCCATCAGAGTACAGGTCAGGGGCCGGAGTCCCAGGGGGACCATCCATCAGAGTAGAGGTCAGGGGTTGGAGTCCCAGAGGGACCGTCCATCAGAGTAGAGGTCAGGGGTCAGAGTCCCAGAGGGACCGTCCATCAGAGTAGAGGTCAGGGGTTGGAGTCCCAGAGGGACCGTCCATCAGAGTAGAGGTCAGGGGTCAGAGTCCCAGAGGAACTGTCCATCAGAGTAGAGGTCAGGGGCTGGAGTCCCAGAGACTGTCCACCAGAGTAGAGGTCAGAGGTCAGAATCCCAGAGGGACCGTCCATCAGAGTAGAGGTCAGGAGTCAGAGTCCCAGAAGGACTGTCCATCAGAGTACAGGTCAGGGGCCAGAGTCCCAGAGGGTCTGTCCATGGTCCATTCAGTCCCACCAAGAGGCCCTGAGCAGCACCAGGTGAGACCCAAACCCGCCCACGAATGCTGTCCAGTACCCCATAAGCATGGGCCTCTGGAGGTGGGGAGGGGTCACCCCCGTCCCAGACTGGTGACTGGGACAAGCCTGCTGCCCATGAAAGACCCTCCCGGCGCTGTAGGGGGTCCAGGATGGGCGCTGGGCGGCTCCTCCGGGCTAAGGCTGAGGCCGGGAGAAGGGACTTCACGGCCCCCAAGGCACTGCCGAGCACTGCAGGGTTCGAGCAATGGACTCAGGTCTGAACTAGCAGAAGTGACCCCAGGGGGCCGGAATGATGGTGCAGTGGGGAGGGTGCTGGTCTTGACTCAGTCAGCCCGGGTTCTGTCCCGGCACCCCAAATGGTCCCCCGAGCACTGCCAGGAGCGATCCCTGAGCACCACTGGGAAAAAGTGCCCCCCCCCCGCCCTTTACCCACCTCTGTTGGGTGGCCCCAGAAATAAACACACAAGCCAGAGTCAGGGACACCTGAGAGAGACGCGGGAGGGGAAGCCTGGGCCGCCTGGGCCGCGGGGCTGCAGTCGCCCGGGGCAGCTGGGGACTGGAGCAAAGGCACCTTCCTGCAGCCACGCCCGAGCCCGGCAAACAGGAAGGAGCCGGGGGAGCTGCGGGAGGGACAGGTGGCTGCGGCCCCCCAGCAGGGGGACCCAGACGGCAGAGCAAGTCGGCTCTGACCTCATCTCAGGAGGTTGCGCTTTGACTTCCCGGGGACAGCTGGAGGCCCGGAGTGGGTTGCGCCTGACCTTCGGCCCGTGGCGGGCGGGGTGAGGGGGGCCGAGCTCTGGGGAAGGGCTGGGGTCTCTCAGGGGGCTGAGTGCCTGGCTGCGTTCCTCTTCACCTGAGACATTTTGTCTGGTTGTGGGCCACCCCTGGCAGTGCTCAGGGATCACTCCGGGATGGCACCAGGGTTGGCCGTGGGCAAGGCAGGTGCCCGGCCTGCTGGGATATCACTGGGGTCCTCGGCTGGGAAATTTTTACATGACCCTAGGCAAATAAAATAGGTTACACAGATCATTTCCTGATTTAAAAAAAAATCCTAAACTGACTTTAATTTGGGGGTCAGTCTTGGGGGGGTCACACTGGTGTTACTCAGGGCTTGGGGATCCATCCTGCTGCAGCCCCAAGCTAGCTCTCGGGCCCAGAGTTTAAGGAAGGAGGTTCTAGATCAACCCCAGAGGCCCCCTGCAAAGTAAACCGTCTCCCACCCCTAGCCCCCTCAAAGCTCTCCAGCACCTACTCCCAGCAGGGCTCGGAGACAGTGCTCCAGGGCACAGCTCCAAGCCAAGGCCCATGGGGGCCCCCTCTGGTCAGCCAGGAGGCCCCGGGGGCACCTCCCTGAGGCCAAATGGAAATGTCAAACCACAAACTCAGCCCGCTGCCCACGGCTCTGCCCACTCCCGCGGGCCCCGTCCCTGGAGTTCCGGGTGGGAGGAGACGGGCCCACTGCTTCCCGGCGCCGGAGCCCTGCCCCGTCCCTCCCTCGGGCCCCGTGGACGCGGGTTCCGCACAGAGCCAGCTTTGTTCTGGGCAGGCCCGCGTGTGGGCAGCTCCTGTCAGGGCG